AGCCCATGTTTGATAATCATTCTTTCAAAATTCTTTTTTATACTCATTTTTAACTGCACATTCTCAAGATAAAATATTCTTTACGTAACCCAAAAATTTATTATTCAAAATCTCTTTTTTTTTTTTTTTTTAAAAAAATAGTTTTAATGTAATTAGGAATAAGAAATACAACAATATTAAATAAAAAATATCATTTATCTATCTTTTAACTCCTTTTTTATAAACATTGTGTCATTTAACTTAACATAATATTTTAAATTTTAAAATTAATAAATATTTTAAATATAAAATTATACATACACACACACACACACACACACACACAAATAACAAATTTTTTTGTGCTCTTACAATGATGAAGCCCTATCCAATTGCTCAATTTGCATACCTTGAGGGCCGCCGTTGCGTACCTTAATTATGTAGGGTTTTGTGTCCACCGGACCATTTGACTTTAGTTTCTTTCCACATAATAACGTTATAATAGCACAATTAACATATATACCTCAAATACTGTAGATGTAATACATATAAATTTATAACTCGATAACACATTTTTTTATGGACGTCCTTTGACAGAATATGAGATACTTGACCTGTACACGAATTAGATTCTTTAAATGCTTTTATTGTTAACTGTAAGGAAGTTAATGAAAAGAAATTGATAAGTATATTTTAACTATTCTTTTACTAAATTTCTCAATATATTTTTTATTTCCAGCCTGCAATGACAATATAGCACTCATACTGTGAAAATATGTGCACAAAAGAAAATGAAGAGAAGAAGAAGGTGATAGGGGTAATGACTATGTTGAGAAATTTATGAAAATTATAGCACTCATACCCTAAAAAAATCATGTAGTTTGTTAGGAATAACAGAGCAATGCAGACACAATATTCAGCATAACAGAATTCTACAGGTTCACTTTTAACCAATATCAGTTCAAGAACCAATCTCATAACCAGCATACCATAATGCAACCAAACTACTGTAAAATCATAGCATACTGCAGGCCACAGTTCACAGCAATCAATCGCTCAAACCAATATGCTATTACATATACAAAATCAGCAAATTAAATGAACTATAGAAACCGAAAGTTAGAACATTAAATGTACAGAAACAAGGATAAAAGTATAGAGCTTCACTTCCCTTTGTCGGTGGTTCATTTCGGCCGAATGCATAGGCTTAGAAACAGCCCCTTCATGCTTAGTAAATCACCGTCCAGAGAGAGAGAAATAATGGCCAGAAACCCCCTATACTTGGCTTGGGTCATCGACCAAATGATCTACCAAATCAGCCAAGAAAACACCATCGAATCCTTATCCAAGCCTTCAAGAAACACCCACACTCAACCCTATTTCATGTCTAAGTGATGCATTGGTCTTTTCCCTACAAAGGCTCAAGGATTGGCTTAGGGAACGTTGGTTGAAAGGAAGAAAACAGGCAGAGTAAAAGAACCGGAGTCAGGCCAGAGAAGAGGGAAAAAATGAAGAAAGAAACGGGCTCCATCAAATAAGCCAAGCCCTAAAAAATATCTCACCCAAGATTAATCCCCAGCCATAGATTAAGATCAAGGGACACAATTAATCCTCA